TCATAAATTATTTTATGTTGTCACTTCTTTTTGCAGAATGTCTGAAGTTGCTCATTTCATTATGATATGATATTATGATGCCTCTAATGTCATTAATTAAGGATTTGAGTTAACAAGCACCACTTGTTAAAAAAAAATCCTACTGTCTCCAGGGGATCACTAGACTGAAGAATTTAATCAGATTGCTTTCCACTCTAACACCTATCAGAGAACAGTTTCAGAGGGAAAAAAAAAAGGATGACTGAGGCTTCATACTTTGGGAGCACTTTAGAACAATCTGGAAAGGTAAAGTGGGCCGTTATGAAACATATGACTTCCTAAAAGCTCAAGCTCTATTTTTCGAAATGGCCAACGTTGGATACAGAGGACACGTGGAATAAGTCTCGTGGAAGAGTAACCTGATATGAGAACACTATGATGCGCCTATAAATGTATGTGAACCCTCTGGCTTTGTCCAACCCTGAGCCCATTAGTTTTCTTGGCACACCAGGCTGCACGGTTTGCCACTCTGAACTGACAGCTGTGGCAGCATGCTGCATAAGGGACTACTGTTGGGGCCACAGGGGCACGTGAGAGAGCTAGACTAGAAAGATCAGAAATATCACTGGGTACTTGCCTTCCAGAGAATGTGTCTAAACTGATGAATTTTAAAAGCTGGCATGCTCAGCCTCTTAAAACCCCTACTGCCTATATATCTATGTCCTCTTCAATTTTTAGCATTCTTCTACTGATAAACAAGAAGAGGAGCAACCAGGAAAGATAACTTCTTGAGTCCGTCATTTGATGCCTACACCCCCACCCAGGACTCACCTTTGGCTTGAAGAGGAAGAGGAGATTATCCACCTGGAAAAGTTACATGGCAAATGCTCTTCAGGAAGCACATAATCCAACTTCCTGGACTGGGCACTGAGAGCTACAAAGCCAGTTACCTCTAGTATTAATCCGCCAATGGTCTCGGCGCTACGTGAACAAACTGAGCGTTCATCCAACAAAGTTAGAAGGCCACAGCAATTCACGGGGTCTTTGATGGCTGCCTTGGTGGTGGTGCTGGGTGGAAGGCGGTGGCAGCTGCAACCGAACAGGCTCAGAGCTCCCCACCTATCACCTATCTCACAAGGGTGGGACACACATCGCCTGTCTCACAGCCTGATGACCTAACTTCGAATCCAGAAGCCAACAGAGATGGAGTTAGTGAAAAGGAAGGAGAGGAGAAACACTATTTCCTGTCTCCTTAGTTTTGCCTGAAGTCATTCCTATCGTGGAAGAAGGAAGCAAATTCTTTTTCTTCCTCCCTCCATACCAGCCTCCTGCTCCGGGGAAATGACAGGTCAGCGACCAGTAACACGAAGCAGCTTTGTGGAAGAACCTGAGCACCTTAGCACCGTAAGAGAATTTCCCAGAAAATGTGCTCCTAGACATAAACAAAATCAAAAAACAGAAAAAGGATACTGGGAAATCCTGTCTGGAATGTACGAATGTGCTATGTATTGATGGGGACAGGGTGGGAGGTGGGAAGATGAAAGGCTGTGAGTGGAAGGCAGTAGGTTCAGGAGGAATTCAAACAGGCAACCTAGCCAAAGATTTATCATTCAACTGAAGCCGGGCTCAGGAGGTGGCAGAGTTCCCGGCCTGCCAAGCAGTCCAGACGGGACATAGATGATTGGTATTACAAAAAGACTTCTCAAAAAACCAGGGACAGCCTGAATCCAGGTGGAGGACAGCCAAATTGAGGTATGGCTGAACAGTGCTCAGTAGAAAGATTGAGGAGTCTGATGGAGATGGTCACGGACTTCACTTGTTTCTCTGACTTACAGAGATCCTTCCCCTGTGTCCTCCCCACCCACTCCCACAAAGTGACCTGCCTGAGTGTATCTCAGCTGCTCATGGGAATGACAGACAAGGGAGATGAGAAAGAAGCAGCAAGTGGTTGTCAAATTTAGAGGATCTGTGAATCCTTGGGAAGCTTGTTTAAAATTGAGAATCACAGGCCCCATCCCAAGACATTTGAACACAGGTAGTTCTAGTTACAGGCAATGAAAAGCCAGGACGGCAGCCTCAGATTCATCCTGGCAACATAACAGGTACCCACACACTCAGCAATCCTCGGAAAGGTTACCACCAAGTTCTCCCGAACTGCTCGCATTACCTCTTGGGGCAAGTTATGGCCCCAGCTCAGCTCGGTCCTCACTAGGCAATCACCTGGGAGCTCAGTCAGTCACAGGGTCAGTCAGTGCCCCTCCACACTCAACTTTGAGCATTTTTTTTAAGGCTTGTCTTGTTGAAAACTTTGAGTGTGTAAACTATACAAAGGTTATCGTGAACTAACACGGCTGACACTTTTGTTTGGCTGGTGTAAGTTTTCCTCCCAGGCCCCTCCCTTCATTTTTATACGAAGAACAACCCTGGCAATAGGAGAGAGAACAGAGGCCAGCGGGCCAGCTTCTCATCAAAACTTACCAAGAAATAAAAGCTTAGTAACTTGCCTGGGTACCAGCCGTTGCCTATGGCCAAATCAGCCACAGCAGTTTCCTTGGGGCTGAAATACTCTTTGAAGGTAGAAAAATATCTCTGAGCAAAGAAACCAAGTCCTTCCAGCAATGAGAAGTAATCCGAAAAGGAAGTCTACTCAATTTTTTCCATCCTAAAGGCAAGGAGCTATTGAGTGGCAGAATTCCAGAAGCATCCTAGTCTTAAGCTGAGACTAAATGGGTTGTTAGAGAAACTCTGAACACCCCTACGTTCCTGTCTGAGGAGCTCAAGCACTGTAGGACGTTGGGTGAACCACTTCACCTCTGAGGCTCACTCTACAAATGTGTAAGATGGGGGCAATATCCCCCACCACTCCTCCTCAAAAGAAGTGGTATGGCTTGAATGACAGAAAACATGCAAAAGCTTTCTATAAAATATTTACCAGCAGACAAATATTTTTATCACCATGACTGTTATTTCTTTAAGACGTTTAAGAATCAAAAGAGCAATTACCTGCTCTACCCATTAATGACCTACTATTAATCTTTTAAGTTACGATGCTCATCTGTCAGCGTCCATGAAATTGCTCAGCACGTGGTAATCAAGTATAGGAGCTGAGGAATATTTGTGCACGAGGTACCTAAACCTCAAGTACCATCTTTGATCATACATTTTCTTGAAACAAAGAACAGAAATAACTAGAAGGAAGTGCAATATTTTTAACCACTACACTTCCTCCATGGGCTGATGACACAAAGAAATGACTGGTTATCCCAGTTACATGACAGAGAATGGGAGCATCAGAAAAAAAAAGAAAAAAAACTGGAAATTTAGCACTGTAGCAAGAAACTGTACATAAAACTATCCTCAGCTCACCTGTGCCTTCCGTTCTTCAGTATCTTTATATTGCACTCTTTACCAGCCTCCTCTAATCCAGCCTTCACTTAACCAACCTCCTCTAACAGCCAATACTCTTCATTTCCTCCAAAAAACATTCTGAGTGATGCCCTTGGGCCTTCAGGGTGGGGCTGTCCTCCAGGCTGTCTGTGCACCTCTGTTGGGACCAGTTGAGTTGTGTGCCCCCAAAAGCTGGTTGTGTTTGTTCCCAGACCTGTTTATGCAGCTCTACTTGTCATTATAATTATACAATTTAATTAAATACTATGTCAACCACAGAAATTTGAGACCAAAAAGAAAGACTTATTGTCTCTATGGAAACCAAGTTAAGTGCTTTAGAAAGATGTGGAACTAAAAATATTTCTGTCAAATTAAGAACACGCAAAGGATTGGGGGACATCTTAAAATTCTAGAAATCCTCACTCAGACTGCTTTGTGAGCAGCTTTAAGTACTTTCTCCAGTGAAGAAACTGGAATTGGATAGCAAGGAAGAAGCATGGTGGGTACGGCTTATGCAAGAAAGCCCGTGGGGAACTGTGTTACCCTGCAAGGTGGCATGTCAGTGATTTTTATTTCTCCTTTGTACCTTTCGCAATTCTCCAAATTCTAGTAATCAAATATTGCTATAATCAGAAAATACTTTGGACATTAATAGTAAAGTTAAATACAAATTTACAAGTGAAGAGTGTTACAATCTAAGATGCACGTAACTTCCTATAATTAAAAAAATACTTCCTCAGTAGAACCCTCAAGATACATTTTAATGATCAACTCAAAAAGATAAATCTTAAAACACTGTAACACATTTTTAAATGTATGCATAACTGTGCATATAAAAGAAGTTACATACTCAACATAAAACGCCCTCCACAAATGTAAACTATTAATATTATTGTCGACAGCAGAGGTGACAATAGAAATTTAACTTTCATGTCGCTCTCCTTCTCAGCAATTAGCCTTAGTGTGCTGCCCTTCATAATTTAAGACACAGTAACATTTCTTCAGAAAGACAGGTAAATTGGTAATAAAAAGTCTAGAAAGCTTTAGGCAGGTCTTATCATGGCACTGCATGCTCCCATCCTGGTGGCCCATGCCCCAGGCCTGGGGACTCCGCCAGGCAAAGGGGAGCCAGAAATGAAGCAGGCAAAGCGACTGCCCCTACAGCTGTGGAAGCAGGCACCGGAGACACCGCCCCGGCCAGGAAGGAGAGAAACCGGTTTCCCTCGGAAGAACTGGCCCTTCAGAGCCAGGCTGGAAGCGCGGCCTTGCCCCTGCCCCAGGCCCTAACCCGGGCAAGCCTCTAGCCCTGTCCCCAGAAGGATGAATTACTCAACTAGAGCTGACCTCTCTCCTGAGCCTTATGAGGCCTTGAAAGACCACATTACAAGGTTTACCGTCTGGGGCAGGCAAGAGTGGTTAGTGAAGTCCCATTTATCCTTGAGCTGAGAAACAGGAGCTCTTCACTGTTAGAGGGAGGGTGGGGAGACAGGGGGATGGTAGCCCCGAACAGCCACCCCTCCCTCCTCTCCCAGCTCACACACCATCCAGCTCCCATCGGCCTCACCCCTCCCTCTGCTCTAACCATTCCAGCTAATGGACCCCCAGGAAGTCTCAGCCCACTGTTGGAAAAGTACCTCACAATGCCACAGGTACCATACATTTCTGGCAATGATTTCATTCAGTCATATTCGCACAGCATGAAGTACGAACGGGAGAAATAATAGCGCTGCTCCTCAAAGGGCAAGTCAAACCAGAGGCCTCTGGGGAGTGTCTGTATTAGATACAAGGCTGGCTGGATGACAGGTCCGAGCTGTCGTGGCACTTCCCGTCTTCCTGTGGACGTGCCCTTTTTTAAAACTAGCATACCACACCATACACACAATGTGGTAACTGGTGAGGGAATTCAAAAGGAAAACACGAGGGGAACAGCAAGGGAAAGAAGACTGCCACAGATCTCACATCTCAGACTTTCTTTGCCCAAGTCCAGACTTTGCATCCCAGTCTAGAAGGCTTTGGAACCTGATTACCTGGTTGCCACATTCAGAATAGACCCCTTTCTCAGGAGCAAATTCACCTATTGTAATTCATGTGTGTAAACACATACACACAGAGAATGCCAACGTATTAATTTACAAGGAAAACACTGTCAAGGATCCTGGAAAAAATTAACATGGAAGCAAGTACATTTATTTCCTGTAGGCACACCACATGGAAATCGAACGAAAGAACCACAGAGGAAAACAGCCATGCCTGCCTATCCAAATCCATCCCTTTCTATGCTGATTACAAAATTTTGCTTCTGAGACCTACTCGCCCTCCACTAAGAGACCTATGGTTTAGATGGTTGGATGGGCACATGTCCCAGGACTGGCCAGTCACAGGGCTGACACTGCCCTGGTAACTGGTGGGATTGCTAAACTGTGAGGATATGAGCTGGGAGATGCAGAGAGCCACCTCAAGAAGAGGGCACCAACTCAAGGTGAAGCCAAACAGGTGAGCAAAACGAAGAGATGGAAAGGGACATTGCCTGACGGTATCGTGTAACATCAGAGGCAAGCCATGCCTGAGACCCGGATGCCCCCTGAACTTTTCATTTATGGAAAACAGTGAATTCCCTTCTTTGCTTGAGCCACTTTGAGGTGGATTTCCATCTCTTATAAACAAAAAGAAGTCCTGATTAGTACATGAGAGTTTTAACAGAGAAAATGGAATAGGACCAAGGAGAGTTTATAATATGACTTGAATGTTTAATCATCATTCATTTCAAGTAGCTTAATGCATATGTATCTACACCAGGGGAGGCTAGGGCTCATCCTTGGGCATCCTTCTGTCCTGTGACCCTTGCCAACCCCACTTGCACTGATACATTCTCTCTTAAACCATGCTGATGCATCCAATCTGCCTGGCAGGCCTGCAGTCACTCCGTCTCTGCTCCATTTAACTCTCATATGGCAATCTTACACCCGTTGCTTCCAAGTTCTTAAGGGGATGTATCACTGGATCCCAAGTACTGAGAGTAATCGAAAACCACTTAATAGATTGTTAAATTCCACAGCACCCGAGAGAACTCATAAATCCTCCAAGTTAAATGTTCTGTGTTCCTTCCAGTGAATTCTAGCATTAAAAAAATCATTTACTGTAGCAAAATTACAGTCAACAGTTTCCAACTATCAGGATATATCAATGATATTTCAATTGAGGTGAACACATAGGTCTTATACTTTGATTAAAGGGGATTCTTTAAATCCACGCTATTTTGATTATAAGCAGTTGTTTGTGCTTAATGAAGAAGCTCACAGGCCAAGACAAAAGTGTGCCTCTTTGTAAGTTTAGCTCCCATTATAGCTAACTTCTGCACAAATACAGGCTGCAGTGCCCTGCTTTCCTTCCTCCACGCAGGCACAAATCCTGTCTGTGGTTAGATTCTTCGAGGGCCTCCCCCCCGTGCCACTTCCCAGTTCCTTGTCCTAATTAAACAATGCCTTGGAGAGAAGTAAACAGTTGTTTTCTCCTCAAGCTGTTGTCCTCATTTGTTTACGTGTCTCCCCGACTAAACTCAGCTCTTTGGATGACTTGATGACTAGTCTAGCACTGCGTCTGGCAGATGTTCTGTAAACATTAGTTGAGTGGATTTAATTAACTACACTTGCCAGATTTTTACCAGAATATCTGGTTTGTGACCTTATGGCACTGTGCAGTTTCAAGCATCAAGGGAAGTATTGGGCAAGGAGTCTTGGAAACATGGTGTCTGCCCTCCCTTCAAGAGCAAAGAATTCAGAAACAGGTTCTTGTGCACAAGACTTCAACCTTTGTAAAATGTATCCTGCAATCCTGGCGACAATTATCTGGACCAGGATTTGGTGCCTGAGCTAAAGGCTTCAGCTCCAGACTCAACAGGAGAAAGGCCATTGGCCTTCAAGATGGCCAGGGGTGAGAACTCAGCCGCAGAAGGAATGAAGCGTTCTGAGCAGTGATTAAGCAGCTCAGTAAGATCCTTTCTCAGGGCATATGAAAGCAACTTGTACAGAGAAAGCTATCATATAGTAGAAGGACAAAAAAAAATAAAATAAAAGAGAAAATAAAACTGAAGTTCTAAAGCAGAAGAAGCCAAGAATAATCAAAAGCCATGAGGACTCTAGGGAGAAGGAAGTGCAGAAGCCTGTGGAGGAGCAGAGTAGAAGATGACATACCCAGAAGCTGAGGTGAGTCTCAGGAAAGTGCTAGAACTACCGCTGTGTGGTCTGAAATTCCCTTTACAGTATACTAGAGAGAGTCAGTGAATCAAAAGGCCACATTAAAAGACAGCTACTCGAAGTTTTCCAGCTATTTTTACCTCTACTAAAGGGCTGAGGTTGTCTGCTATTAAAATGGACATTAGAAATCAGCTTTGGTTATTACTGAAATTTGAGATGTTCAAGACTTGTGAACTGGCTAGAAATACTAGGGGCGCCCCACCATTCCATGAAGGGATACCAGGCTAACCTCAGGTACAGAGCCCCAGACTGGATTCAGCACTCAGGCACAGTTGATTTGGAAGATTTTGGTTGTCCAAATGCTAACTCTTGAGTTTAACTGAATCCTGCCTCTTAAAATATTATCATATTTTCCTCAAGTGAAACTCTTAAGCAAAGGAAGGAACATCTAAAAAGGCAGAGACACGAATTTATTAAACTTACAAAGAGGTTGTAGTATTGTTATGCCCTCTTACAAAAAAACATTTTTTTTCATGTCTAGAGGTGGGGGCCGGGGTGGCTGGTGGGAGACCTATAGCCGTCACCTCCCTCTTAACTACTGTTGTGTATTAGTTGGGGGGTGCTATGACACAGAAACCAAAAAGGAAAGTGGCTTGAACAAGAGCCCATTTATGTCTTAGTAGTGAACAGTCCAGAGAGAACCAGGCTGGGCAGGAAGGAAGTCCGAGCATCCACTTCTAATTTCAGATGGCTATTTCAAATCTCAGCAAATCCCAGTCGGCAAGAAGGAAAAAAGACATGGAGGGCATGCCCTTCCCCCATTGGCCAGCTCTTGTCACATGATGATGCCTAGCTCCACAGGCAGCAAGAAAATTAATCTCCACACCAGCAACTGAGGGGCAACTGAGTGGGATTATGCTGTTGCACATCATTTGGGGGTCTCCTTCCCTGTGCAGCTCCCATCACCTGAGGGAGCTTGAGCGATGTCTGTTCTTCCTGGTATGCACGAGTTTAATACAGGAATGCAACTCACTGCTTAAATAACAGCAATGAGAAATCCACTACGAAGTCATTACAGAAAACAGACGTTTACAAAAAGAAAGAAGGCCAAAAATATTCAATCCTCTGAAAGACAATTAGATAACCATCATATTAAACAACAGCTAGATGACCCGAGAATAAAACACATCCCTGCTCCCAGCCTGCTTCAGTCATCTTAATTAGAGATTCCTGAGTCACTTGAGAAAAGCAGCTGTCTGCTCCAATTTGAAAAGCCTCAAAACAGGTCATTGTGATAAGTAAAGCCACCGATTAAAAGATAAAGTCCTGATCAGTCTTCCAAACTGTACTTGTGTTCGTTTGGGCTGCTGTAATAAATACCACAAACTGGGTGGCTTACACCGCAGAAATGTATTGTCTCAGCGCTGGAGGCCAGAAGTCTGCAATCCAGGTGTTGGCAGGGTGGCTCCTTCTGAGGGCTGGGAGCGGGAATCTGTGCCTGGCCTCTCTCCTTGGCTTGTAGTTGGCCATCTTCTCAAGTCTCTTCACAGCATCCAAGTGTGTCTCTGTGTTGAAATTCCCTCTTTTTATAAGGATACCAACCAAACTGGATTAAGGTCCACCTTAATCACCTCATTTTAACTTGATTACCTCTGTAAAGACCCTATTTACAAATAAGATCACATTACTTGGGGTTAGGACTTCAATATATGAATTTAAAGGGCAGGGGAGGGGCATGATTCAACCCATATCACAAAATTAGAAGCCCTTTAAATCTGAGGCCAGAGACCGCATACTTACTACCATAGTCATTATGTCCTTTTTAAAGCCTTTTTATTGGAAAATATAACAGATACAGAAAATGCATAAGACATAAATATACAGTGTGACAAATAATTATAAAGCAAGCATCTGTGGAATTGCCACTTGGGTCAAAAACAGAGTACTGCCAGGAGCCAGGAGCCAGGAGCCCCTCCCTGACCACAAGTCCCGTCTTCCTCCAGGAGGTACCACTTTCTCTACTTTTAGGAAAATGACTTCCTTCGTCCTTCATAGTTTCAGACTTCTGAATACACCCCAGAACAATATAGTTTGGTTTTTACCTGTTTTTGGACTGCGTGTGCATAGAATTGTGTTGTAATAGTTGAGATCTTCTATCCCTCAACATGTTTGTAAGATTTATCCATATTTTTACATTTTTAATGGTTCCAAAGAATATTTCACTAACCTAAATCCAATTTTGCCAGTCACAACTATATTTACTTTGATTTTTACCATTCTCACTCATTTTTAACATCCCCACATCTCAATGTCTACATCAAAATCCTATCTACGCATAGAAAGTACTGACTAAAACTTACTTTTACAATTTTTTCCTTACAAAAAACAATTTTTGGTTAAAGCTACTATCTACATAGGCAGATTATAACATAAGCAATTTTCTTAAGTGTTGCTTCTACAGACATTTTCCCAGAAAAACTGAACAAGAAATGATACAGCAAAGTATATTTACCAAACGACCTGCTTTGTTTCAGGCAATGCTATAATATTCTAGGTTGAACTGACCAGTGGGCCATTTCTCAAGAGGAGAGTGAACCTCCAGGTAAAGACAAGACAGGGCATGATTCAGCAAGTTTGAGGGGACTGCTATTTGTCAGGGTCTAGGTGACAGGCTTCACTGATGAGCCAAGGACCTTAAAGGAAAGACAACAGTGTAACCTGCTGGGCTACACCAACTTCTGAGGCTTGCCCAATTTTGGGGTTTTCAATGGTCAAGATTTGTTTCTTTGTCAGTTCTGTTTGAGATTTGCAATACCCTGACCCTGCCTACCTGCTTACCTTTCTGAACTGTATCTCAGTCTGGAATCCCAGGTTGGAATCTGACACTAGTTTGAGTAACTCATCTACTGGTCAGTGCCCTGGCCATGCAGAGGTCAACCGACTGTCCACCCTTCCCTC